ACACTGACTGTAAGACACTTTCTGTAGGACACCGTAGGACACTGACTATAGGACACTGACTGTAGGACACCGTAGGACACTGACTGTAGGACACCGTAGGAGACTGACTGTAAGACACTGTCTGTAGGACACCGTAGGACACTGACTGTAGGACACCGTAGGACACTGACTCTAGAACTTGGACTGTAGAACACTCATTGTAGAACATTGTCTGTAGGACACCATAGGACACTGTTTGTAGGACACTGACTGTAGGACACTGTCTATATGTGATGGACTGAAGGTCTTTGAAGGTTCTGTGGTTCTGACCCTCTGGACCCTGTGTTCTTGGCAGGAATGGGTACTCGCTGTACTGCGCCGAGCTCATGGTGAACATGAAGGACGTCCCGAGCACAGAGCGCATGGTGCTCTGCAGCAAACAGTGGAAGATGCTGACACAGAAGGAGAAGGACATGTTTCAGAAACGCTGCGAGCAGGTCGGTACTGTCCAACATGTCCCCACCTTCACTCTTCACTCTGGACTCTGATGGATCCGTCTTGTCTTGACAGAAAAAGAAGCAGTACGACGTGGACCTGCAGCGGTTCCTGGAGGTGAGCTCATTTTCACAGTCATCAACCAGGAAACTACTTCCTGTTTGTCTAAACCTCGCCGTGTTTCAGAGTCTTCCAGGAGAAGAGCGAGACAGAGTCCTGTCAGAGGAGAAAATGGGTGGGGCCAAGTTGAATGTGGGCGTGGCCTGTAGCCCACACAGAGCCAAGTCTCCATCAGTAAAGGTCCAGCTGTCTTCTGTTTGCTCTCTGCTCTGTGGTCCCAGAGCCGAGTTTAACCACCAACATCCTGTGATCGTAGGAGCGCTGTCGGGAAGCCGAGCTGGAGCCATGGATCCCAGCTGGACAGCCCAAAGACAGACGGGACGGGACAAAGACAGCAAGGCTTCCAGAAACGCCCAGAACCGCTGAGGAGATGTGGCAACACAGTGTGATTGGAGACTACCTGGCTAAATTCAGAGTGAGTTCCTTTCAGAGTAAAAGTCTCCCAACTCTGATTTAATGTGATGTCTAACCTGGTTTTGGTCATGTGACCCGCGTGTCTCAGAGTGACCGCAGGAAGGCCCAGGCAGCCATGGAGTCAGCTTGGAAGTCCATGGAGAAGAAGGAGAAGATTCCTTGGATAAAGAAAGCAGCAGAGGACCAGAAGCGTTACGAGGTTCAGTACCAACCCGTGGTCAGTGAGCCACGCCCCCTCCTACTGAACCCACCCACAAATGTGTAAAAACAACCCACAGTCGCCCCTAAAATTGAGATAGAATGATTGTTTATATTCTGACTCCTCCCACAAGTCCTGACCACACCTCCATGTCTGTACTGACTCCTCCTCTGAGTCCAGTTCCTACTTTATTTATCCAGGTCGTCTCATTGAGCCACTAGAACTCATTTTCTAGAGAGACCTGTTTGGGAGCAGATGGTGGGGGTTAAGGGTCCAGAGTGGGGCGAATGAGGTTGGAGGCAGGTGTGGGTGCTTCACCTTTTCCACCCACATTTTTTGATGTTGTCAGTCTGGGGAGTTGAACCTGTGACTTTCCGATCACAGGCCCATCTTCTCTAACCTCTGCACCACCACTCCCAAAAACTTTTAACTCCTCCTCTGCGTTCAGCTCCTACCTTCATGCCTGTCGTACCTCCGTTTGCCCTCTGACTCATTCCTCTCGTCTTCATGTCTCTAGGCTCTGGCATACTCCATCTGAAGTGGCAACATCGGCTGTCACTTCATTCAACCTTTATCTCTACAGGTTGATCCCATTGAGCCTCCAGGACTCATTTACAAGAGAGACCTGATTTAACAAAGAAAGATGACAACAATGACAAAAACAGACAATCATAAAAGAGGCGTACAGATTTAAATTTATTTTTTTTTTACAAATCAAAACAAAATAGCAACCAAAAGGACAATCAAGAGGAATAGTAGCAAAAAAACAGTCACATTATAAGGTGACGTAGAAAACTAAAAACAGGAACATCTGCAGGAACTTATCAGATGTTTGAAGCCACTTAGAGAGGTCAAAGGTCGAGAGCTTCAGGTCTTTTTACAAGATATTCCAGGAAACAGGAGCGGAGCAGGAGAAGGTCCTTTTGTCCAGTTCAGTCCTCACTGAGGGAACACTGCAGGTAATGATGTCCTGAGAGCGCACGCTGTAGCTGCACTCACACAGAGACATGTAGGAGGAGATGTATGAAGGCAGCAGACCAGGAAGTGATTTAAAGATGAAAATGTACCAGTGAGAGAGTCTGTGTGAAGTTAATGGTGACCAGTTAACCAGTGGATACTGGGTGCAGTGGTGGGTACGATAATCACAGCCAGTTATGAATCTTAGTGCACCATGATAGACAGCATCCAACATCTGCAGCATCCAACATCTGCAGGGTTCTTGTAGGACTGTCCCCCAGACAAAATTGAAAACTAAAGGAGATAGAGCCTTTTCTTCCGTGGCTCCAAGACTTTGGAACTCTCTTCCTCAAACTCTCCGATCACTGGACTCAGTGATTTCTTTTAAAGGTTAGCTAAAAACTTATCTTTTTAAATCTGCTTTTGCCTGATTTTGTTTTTTGCTTTTGTTTATCTGATTTGTTGAAGCGTTTTGTGATTTTTATCTTGAGAAGCGCTATATAAATAAAGTTTTACTTACTTACTAGGAGCGTTCATGTAAATAATGTCACTGTAATCAATGGAGGGAAGGAAAGTCACAGATACAAGGTGTTTCCTAACATTCAGAGTTAGACAGGATCTGTTTCTGAAAAAGAAACCCAGTTTAACTTTCAGTTTCTTTACCAAGTTTTGATGTGCAGCTTAAAAGAGAGATGTGAGACGACCAAGAGACTCAAATATTTATAAGAATCAACAAACTCAATGGGGACACCATTTGAGGATAAAATCGGAGGAAGAACTGCTGGGACCGACTTCCTATTTGAAAAAAGCATCCCTTTGGTTTTGTCGGTATTTAGGACAAGTTTGAGGTGGAACAAATCAGACTGGATGTAGTTGAATGCAGATTTCAAAAGCTGGAAAGCCTTAGCAACAGTTTTAGCTCGACAATAAACAACTGTGTCATCAGCATAGAAATGTATGGATGCATTAGGGATGTTTTTACCTACATTATGTATGTAGATTGTAAAGAGGGTGGGTCCTAAGACTGAGCCTTGTGGTACACCATTGTTGACTGTTAAATAACTGGAGGAAGTACCATTATGTTGAACACATTGCCTCCGGTCTGAAAGATAGTTAGAGAACCAACCAATGGTGTGATCTGAGAAACCAATTTCTGAGAGTTTATGACACAAGATGTTCTGATCCACAGTGTCAGAATCTTTAGACAGGTCTAAGAAAAGTGCAGCACAATAATCCTTAGCAATGACATAGTTGCATGATGAAAATTGCTTAATTTTGTTCTCAGTGCAGCTCCGCTCCTTCTCGACACAAGGACCAGGCCAAACCGTTTCTCCCAGGCGTTTGTATCAAGTATTGTGTGATTGGTCCGAGGTTTTCTGGGCGTGTTTGTCAATGAGGAAATGCGCTCTGACATGTACAACTTTTCAAACACTAAATTAGGCAAAAGGACAAAATCTCCTAGATGGAGATTGTGCACACATTGTGCACGGAGGAGTCTGTCTGCTGAAAAGTGTGGCACTTTCTTCATGATAGATTTGTGGCTAAATGGCAGCTACAGGGATGGAGTGGCAGGAAGAAACCCTCACGGTGAGGTGTACTGCAGTGGGAGTGACAGCGAATGTCCTTAAACCATGTGACCGCGAGTCGACTGTTCAACTTCGAATGGAGTATGCTGGGCCCTTCGGTCTTCTGAGTTGTGTTGTGTTGCACTGACTCTGGGTGTCCTGCAGAGGGAGCTGTTTGAGATAAGGACGCCTGCTGCCAGTCAGAGGAAGCCCAAGTTTGACGGTGAACCAAAGAAGCCTCCGGTGTGAGTATCAGCAACTGTTGTTCCAGAATCAGCTTTATTCTCATTGCACAGTTAAGTATAGCGAAATTACATTCCGTACAGCCATCCGAAGGGTAGACGGAGGTGTACCGGAGCTGCAGCTTCTATGAAGCGCTGCCCTTATCGTGTAGATAAGAAAAGGGGAAGAAAACACGGAGAGAAGGTATAAAATCTCTCACACGGGCAGCAAAAAATATTACCTCAGCACAAAAGCAACATAGAAATAATACATTTTGTGTGTGTTTTGGGCGGGGGGGGGGGCGGGGGGACCAAGAGATTGTCCATGAACACTTCCAGGTAGTTTCCATAGTCCTGATAAAGGATGTTACAGTGTCTCTCAACCGGTACAACTCTAATAGGGTTCACAGATGTTCTTGGGGGGGTCAGCAGGAGTAGAGTGTCTTGTTTCCATAACATCCAAGGAGAAATTGAGCCAGTCCGCCTTCCGAGGCCAGAGCCAGATTCAGATTTCAACATTGTTTTGGGTCAGGCGGACAGAGTCCCTAGTTTTTTTTTCCGAGCCCCGGCAATTAGAGGACCGACCCAAAAAAATGAAGACTTTTTTTTTTTATTAAGCTTTTACTGCTTTTGTAAGTAAATCAGTTTGGCATGATAGTTTTAAAAACATAATGAAAGAAAGATCTAAGATTTATGTTTATTAACAAGTCGGGATATTCACATACAAAATGAATAGCCTAAAGAATCAACTCTGAAGATCGGCTATTATACAGATGAACAAAAATATTTTTAGAGCAAAATTATTTGGAAAAATATAGAACAAGGCTATTTTAATTGAACACGCTGGTCACTTCGGCTTTTATAGATTCTGCTACTTCTTTCACCGCAGATGACAGCAGGTGCAGAGACGTGCGCAGCAGGTGATCAGCTGATCCATCTATCCATCCATGTTATCTATACCCGCTTCTTCTTTTTCTTGTAGCGGGGTCGCTGGTGCCCATGTCCAGCAGTCACTGTGTGAATGGTGGGGTACACCCTGGACAGATCGCGACTCCCATTTCAACCGAGTCAGTGGACGTGCACGGCCGGGGACAGGTGTCCATCTGAGCTTAACGTGACTTTTTTTAAACCTCTTTAAACTGGCCGGTTAGACCGACCTGCCTCCTCCTCAACAAGTAGATTAACACAATTTTGTATTGTGCATTTAGTTTCATTTGTGCTGTACGATTCGTAAAACCTCAGAAGCCTGAGCCCACGTGCGCAATTATTGCGCAATGCGTCAGCGATCTCTTCACAGTCTGATTAACTGCTGCTCTTCTTTCTTTCTTCATCTTCTCAACATATAAACTTACTGCCTCCTCCGCTACATGTAGATCAACACATTTTACATCGTACATTCTTAGTTTTAGTTTTGTGCTGTATGATTCATAAAACTGCATCAAAGCCCAAGACCGGCCCGGCCCGCACATTAATCACATTATAACGGCCTGGACCAGTCCTAATCCGTATCGGTCCGGGCTGGGTTTTGAGTTAGAAATGACAGCTGTAGTCAGGCCGAGCTCGTAAATTTCCGCGTCTGCCTTTTACCGTCTTGTTAGTATATCTCATGGCGACTCCAGACGAATTGTGATTACTTACACCGAAGTCAGGCTTACAACTTCTCCAAGATCTATTCCTTCCAACCGACCGTGAACACTGCCAGAAGTTCCACAGTTCTGCCTGCTCAGCTCTGATACAGGCCCACAGATAGTTCGCACACAGTCTTGAGTGTTGCCAAGCCCGGCACACGTTTTTTTTTTCCTTTCCTTTCCTCGGCGAAAGCACTCTTCCTCCTCCGCTCCTTTCCCTGCTTGCTCTTTGTCTTGTGAACCTTTTTCAGAGCCCTTTTGTTGTACCTTCCGAATTGTAAACGATAGATTTGGATTTCAGCTGGTCTCTCAGCACAATTGATCAAAATTTTCTAAAGAAACAGGGTGAAGGGGAGCCCTCTTACCTTGTCGGAAACATATGTGGATTTATGATAACTGGATTCTGCTGTTTGGAGCTGACAGGAAACTGGATTGACAAATTTGACGACGTCAGCAGCTGTTTAAGCTGCCTGGAATGTGTGTGTCGTGCTCATCAACACTCAGACTGTGTACGAACTATCTGTGGATCCAAAGACCCATCAGGACTGTGGTACTTTGTCAGTGTTCACAAACGGTGGAAGAAATAGATCTTGGAGAAGTTGTAAGCTTAACTTGGCGTAAGATATCACAGTTCGGCTGTTTGGAACCACCAGGAGGTGCTAGTGAGACTTAAGGCTGACATGGAAACTAAGAGCTCAGCCTGACCCAAACCATTGTTGGAATCTTAATCTGGCTTCTGGCCTTGGCCCAATTTCTCCTGGATGTTATGAAAACAAGACACTCTGATCCACCCCATCCCCTCCCCAAGGACATCTGCAGAACTTTGCCTCTGATAGACAACTGGATTGTCCATGGACAACTCCCTTAAACTCATGCTTTCGCTGGCTCCACTTGTTGCCTTCTTGGTGCAGCATCCTTGGAGATGCGAAGGTGCCAAAGGGCTGTCGCTCACCTGGTGGCTGTGCTGGGACCCCCACCCCTATCCACTCCAAATGCATTAGTATTAGGTCTATCCATGTTGCTTTTTTGTGCTGAGGTAATTTTTTTGTGTCTTCACACAGTGCCCTGTGAAAGGCCATGCTGTTCTCTGCGGCTGCAGTCCTAGACATCTTGTCCCCCCCCCCCCATGTATGTTGTCTTGGCAGGATGTACTGAAATTATTTTTTTCTTTCAGGATCAATAAAGTACAGTATTTTTCAGCCTATAAATCGCAGTTTTTTGCATAATTTACATGCCCTGCGACTTATTAGCCGAAGCAACATATTTATGGATTTTTTTTCCCCATACGTATAAACCAATTTGGCTGAGATGACGTTTTCATTCATTCTGACTGAAAAAAAAGAGCAGTACCATTTTCAGCCACTTGATGGCAGCAGAGTAGTAGTAGCAGTAAGGCATGCCGTTGTGTCATGTAATAGGTAAACGTGGCTATAATGACAAATTCAAAAAAGTTCAAGACAAAAACAACTGGACTTTATTTATTATACTTTATTATTTTTGTATTGAACTTTTTTGTATTTACCATGTCCTGGATGACTGAGAATCTTCACCAGCTATTAATGACACAATCGGCCTGCCGTAGACTACCACCTTCATTCCTCTTGCTGCTTGGAGCAACAGTCAAACCAGCTTCATTTCGCTGCACCGCTCTGGTGAACTGCAGCTGATTTGACCATTAAAGTGCATTTATTAAGTAAAAGTTCAACTGAGACACACCTTTGCTATAATTTCAAGCAAACAAATAATTGTGTTCAAGTGTTAATCTTGTTAAATTCTTGTTAGCTCTCCCGTGCACGCTCCTGCGGCCACCATTTGGCAGCCCATCAATTTTTGGCACAACACCGGCCCACATTTCCGGGTTGTCAGCAGTGACGCATTATAAATGCAACGTATTTATGGATTTTTCCACTATTTTAGACAAATATGGACGGATGCGACTTATAGAGCGGAGCGACATGGACGGCGGAAAACACGTTACATTGAATTCTAGACAGTTTAAACAGCTGCTGATGTTTCCAAGTGTCAATAATCCAGATTTACACCGACTCCAAAAAGCAGAATCCATTTATCATAAATCCAGTTATGTTTCAGAGGTAAGAGGGCGCTCCTTCACCCGGTCTTCTTGTTGAGAACATTTGATCAGTTGCATTGAGACCAGCTGAACAAATCCATAGTTTACAGTTTGGAAGTTTTGCAAAAATGGGCTCTGAAAATGTTCACAAGACAAAGAGCAAAGCAGGGACGGAGAGAGGGAAGAAGAGCGACTGTCTTCGTCGAGGGCAAGTCAGAAAAAAAATCCACATATTAGATGAACAGGTTGACCTTCATCACTGCTGAAAATCACTGGTTTTAAAGGTTTGGTGCCTTAAGACCCTCCCTCCTGCTGTCTGTCCAATAGGAGCGGGTATCAGATGTTCTCCCAGGAGCTCCTGACCAATGGTGAACTAAACCACTTCAGCCTGAAGGAGCGGATGGTGGAGATTGGTAAACGCTGGCAGAAGCTGAGCCAGAGTCAGAAAGACAAGTACAAGAAGCTGGTGGAGGAGCTGCAGGTGGAGTACAAGGCTGAACTGGAGGCCTGGGTGAAGGTGAGCTGCTCCACCACCACACCCAACTCTTGGTCCATCCATCCATTTTCTTCTGCTTATCTGGGGTCGGGTTGCAGGGGTAGCAGCTTAAGTAGTGAGGCCCAGACTTCCCTCTCCCCAGCCACTTGGGCCAGCTCCTCCGGGGGAATCCCGAGGTGTTCCCAAGCCGAGAAACATGTCCCTCCAGCGTGTCCTGGGTCTTCCTCTGTCCTGGCGGCCCCCTGCCGGCTGTCCGTTGGGTCGTGGCGGTATTTTTAACGTGTTTTCTTGTCCTCAGTCACTGTCGCCGCAGGATCGGGCCATCTATAAGGAGTTCTCATCCTCGGTGAGACCTGATCTTGGGGTGGGGAGGGGATTCCAGTCGTTCCTCTGTGTAACGATGTAAAACATGTTTCGTCAGAAACGTCGCAGCACCACTAAAGCCCGCTCCAGTCCAGTCACTAAAGTCTGCGTGACTGCGAAGGGGAAAGCAGCCGGATCGAGGGTGGTGCCACCTGGGGTCAACGTGGGCAAGAAGGCGATGGCGTATCGCGCCAAGGTAGCACAACACAGCTCTGAGTTTGGACTGCTGGGCCGCAGGTTGTGACTCTGTCTGTGTCCATCTGTCCCCCAGCAGGACATGTCCGACTCAGACGAGGAGAAGAGCGATTCAACGGAGTCTGACGAAGATGACGAGACATCAGGAAGCACAGAGAGTGAGGATGAAGACGAGGTGAGCGATGATTCAGAATTCCTTCATCCTAAACCGGCGTTCTGCTTATTTTTAAACTACTTCCTTTTTTCTGTCCCCAGAATGACGAGGATGATGATGATCAGACGTCCTCAGAGGAATCCAGCGATCTGGACTCAGATTAGCTCCACCCTCTTAATGTAGAGGACAGGCTGTGCAGGCCACGCCTCCTCACCTGCCCATCCAAGGCAGTGAGATGTGACGTGGGTGGAGCTTGATGATTTTGTTACCTGAGTGTTGTTTTTTTAATCCATTGTTAGTTTTTATTTGATGGATGTTTCAAAAAATGCTATTTTTTCCGGTCAAAGTTTTGAGGGTGGGGCTTGTACAGACAGTGAAGGGGCGGAGCCTGCAGGTTAGTTACCTCTGAGGGACAAGTCAGTGTTGGGTCTCAACAGATAGAAAATAAATGCACTTTTTCTCACTTCCTGTCTAGTTTCCTGTTGTGACATCACTTTCATCACAGAGTCCTGATCACATGACCCAGGTGAAAATGAAAACTCTGAATCAGTTCGGTTGGATTCAGCTTTTATACACGTTTATAGAATATAATCAAACCTCTGTGCGTCCGCCACCCGTTAACAAATAAATAATCTGACCTTTGACCCCAGCCTTTGGTGCATGCTTATAAAACCTCATGCATTACGGTTACCACAAGGTTAAAAACAGGCCCCTCCCCCACAGTCAAAATGGCTGACTCATCTACACCGGCAGCGCAGCCTGATGGGAAACAGCCCAGTTTGGTGTAGGAGTGTTGCAGTTGCCCCTGAGTTCTGACTGACAGGCACATGTGCAGCCGGTCATAGAGGGACCTCCAGCAGCTTCTGGCGCAGGTACTGCTTCACCTCCTCGATGCCATTTAGCTTCTCCAGCTCATGGTACGGCAGCTGAGAGGGGACAAGAAGGAAACATCTACTGAGCTCGTGCACCAACCCAGACAGAACCTGGATAGGTACAGTAAACATTTGGACCCAGTGGATCAGGAATGTTTCTATTAAACCTGTGTTGTGGTCGTGTGGGGGTCCAGTTCTGGACCTGTGCACTGACCTGTAGGATGATGTATCCCAGCAGCCTCAGGTGTCGGTCCCTCATGGCCCGTGACCCGACCAGAACCTCAGAGTTGTGACAGTAGTGCCACTTGTCGTTGACAGACATGATGACCCTGCAGACAGAACAACAGCTTTTTAGTCTAAAAACGTTACGTCAGGTCTTGGACGTTCAAAAAAAAAAGAGTTGAAACGTTTCATCCAAAGGACTTCTTCAGTCTGAGGAGCTGCAACAAATGGCACCTTCTCATGGTGGATCAACCAGTTTGTTGCCACCATGAGAAGGTGCTATTTATAAAAACTGAGCTGAACACAGCTGAAGAAGTCTTCCAGATGAAAGACGAAACATTTCAACTTTTTTTTTTTGAGCGCCCAGAGGACCTGACATAACTCTTTTAGATTTTTCTACCTGGATTATTGAGCATGCATCAGAACAGATTTTTTAGTTTCAACCCAATTCTGTTGGGACCCCAGAACAGGTTGGATCCCAGGTAGACTGACCTCCGAGTCTGTCTTGGCTCTGGTACAGTTTCTGGGTCCGGAAGGTGGAGCCGTGAAGGTGTCAGGGGCCCCCTGTCGGTTCCAGACCCCTCGGCATAGTTCGGGCCTTCGTAGAACCCGGGTAGCTCGCGGTCCGACACCAGAACCTCAGGGGTTCCTGCAGGCCCCTCGTCCTCCAGGATCCTCCCAATGGAAAAAGGAAACAAGGAGTCTGGGGCAAGACCACTTGTGGGTCCTGAGGCCCCGGGAGGAGCCGGACCCTCGGAGGGGGAGCTACTGAGTGTGGAGCTGTCCTGACTCTCCAGGGAGTGGTCCTTAGCCAGACCTGAGTAGTACTCAGCTGCAGGACCGTAGTACTGCTCAAAATCCAGGGACCCTTCATTAGACCCGGTCTGAGTGGGGACAGAAGCTGCTGGGGCCCCTGCAGTTCCACATATATGGTGGGCCTGGAAGGACTGGGCTTCTGTGGCTCCGCCCAATTTGTCCTCCTGACCCTGCAGCTCGGCTCGGTCCTCCAGTGCTGTGAACTGAGACAACTTCTGCAGCTTCAAGGTCACCGCAGCAACAGTGTCCTCAGCGTTCTCTGTCCCCACAGCAACACAGGACGGACACAAACCTGCTCCAGACCTGATGGGAAGAACCCGACCAGAACCATCCAGCCAGAGCACAAAATCTGTAGAGGAATCAGACACAACCAGGACACAGATTAGAGACAACCAGGACAGATTAGAGACAAC